TGTCCCGCGTGCAGTGCAGAGGGCAGGCAGTGACTCTGCGTGTGCTCGGTACCGCTCAGCCTGGACTCGGCTGCGCAGCAGGACTGAGGGTGCTCCCGGTGCTGTGGGTATCCCTAGGTGCCCTTCTCTGTCCCAGCACTCCTGGCTTGACGCGCGAGGTCGGGTGCACGCCTGCTCCGTCGGCAAGGCCCCCGCTCGCTAATCGCAGGGCTCAGGGTGTGCTGCGGGGCCCGCGCCGCAGCCTTGAGGCGCTCCTGATACCGGGGCATCGCGCTTGGCCTTGCGGCCAGGTAGTCATAACACACGGGGCAACCCCCACTCGCCGGCGCTGCGCCTGGGACAGGCACGGACGGAGCTTCGGAGGGCTGGCACAGGCCGGGGGGACCCCTGCCACCTCTGCAGGCCATCGGTCCCCTTGGCCAGGCTGTTGTGGGCCCCAAGTGCGGCACCGTGTGGGTGATGCCGGCTGGGTGCTGGGGGCTCGCTGTACACCTCTGGGTCTGCTCTGTGCCTCTCCCTGGACTTTGCACGTTACCCTGGAGACTGCCCTCCAAGCATGCAGGGATACAGGGATGCAGGCATGTGGCGATGCAGGAATGTGGGGATGCAGGCGTGCGGTGATGCAGAGTCTGGCTCCAGCACCACCAGCTCCCTCTGCCTCCCAGCTCAAAGATGCTGTGGCAGGAGGTGGCTGCTGAATCCCAATTTCCATCCTGACCTTTCAGGAGCTGCCACCAGAGCTGGGCCCTTCCCAGAGAGGTGGGCAGTGGGTGCCCTGCCATGTGCCAGCCCAGCATGGACCCGGGCCCTCCCTGTCAGGGAGGCCATAGGGCTCATGTCCAGCAGGGCAGGGGACACCCTGCTGCTCCTCGGGGTGCACAGCCTGGCCCAGCGCCTGGCTGGTGGTAGCAGCAGTGTTGACTGGGTGGCTCTGCGGGGTCCCTGCTGGGGCATTGACCCACACCGTGCTATCTAGTACACTTTGCTCACTGCACCACCGTGCCTGGCTTTCCTGGGAGCTGCTGTTTGCTTTTCTCTGAATTATGACTCCAGCTTGTGCCTTTGATCTGGACTGTCGGGCCATCCATTGCCAGCCCCTGTGCTTCCTTTGAAGTGCAGTTGCCTTTCCATCTTCAGTCGCTGCTTTTGCAACCTCGCGAATAACCCTGGCCCTGTGGGACTGAGCCATCCAGGGCAAGACAGGAGCATCCTCATGGTGGGTAAAGTGCTCGGCATCCCTCCTCCTTCCTGGGACACAGGGATGGAGAGCTGGTGATGGGCCAGTGCAGCTTGCAGCTCAGAGGCAGGGCAGAGAGGCGCTCACTTAGTGGTGTGTTTGCCCACTGGCAAGCAATCTGGGTGATGCTAGCAGGGCGCTTGGACCAGAGCATCGCTCCCTCCTGTGGCAGTGGCCAGGGACACAGGAGGTCTTGCACAGAAGAGCAGGGATAGGGGGGATATGAGGGGCTGACCGTGTGCTTGACGGTGGAGGGCAAATGAATGGCTCCCCACCAGCACAACGCCTGTCACCCTGGCTCATGGCTGCCCCTTGCCCTTGCCCTGGCACCTGCATGGGCCCCTTTCTGGGGGCCAGTCAAAGCAGTCTGGCTTTGGCTCTTTCCTCCCTCCCTGTCCCAGCACGGAGCACCACAGGGGTCTCTGTGTGCCCTTTCTACCACTGGGAAACTGGGCCCAGGCTTTGGACTCTGGCCTTGAGTGGGTCGGGGTGTCCCCATCCCCTCCCAGCTTCCCTGGCCTAGAGAGGAGCTGCCCTTATCTGTTACACTTTGTTCTTCTGCTGTCTGGGTGCGGAGCAGAGCAGAGATTAGTGTGCAGACCTTTGACACACACACACACAAAACCACATATAACCATGCTCACCTACACATGTGTACAGGCACCACACATGCGTGCACATGCTTGAGCACAGTAGCGCTTGCCCTGCACAGCCGTCCCCTCCAGGGCACGTGTGCATTTTCACATCCCTGCACCATCTGGGCATCCCTGGTGCCCAGTGAGCCTGCTGCCCTGCAGGAGGCTGCTGTCTTCCCCAGGCCCTGTGCTGGGGCAGCCCCGTGGGGCCACTGAGGACAGAGCTCGTGCTGCCCACATGGGCATCACTAGAGGTGGCTGCGGCAGGCAGGGACTCCCCATCCCCATCGCACGGCCGGGGATCCTGCCCGTGCCCTGCTGTCCTTAGGGCCGAACCGTGGCCTCTGCGCGGCCGCTGCAGGGGAAGCCGCAGCCCTTCCCGTGCGATCTTATCTGCGGCGTTTCATGAATGACTC